TATCAATGTTCCTCAAGGATATTGGTGTGTAGTTTTCTTTTTATGTTGTGTCCTTGTCTAGGGTGATCAGGGTGGTGTTGGTTTCATAGAATGATTTTGAAAGTATTCCTTCCCTTTCTATTTCATGAAATAGTTTTTTTTGGGGGGGCGGTACCAGAGATCTAACTCTGGTCCTTGTGCTTTTGAAGCAGGCAGTGGAACCACTGAGCTAGATCCCCAGCCCTCACGAAATAGTTTGAAGAACACCAGCATTAGTTCTTTAAAGGTCTGATAAAATTTGGCAGTGAACCTGTTTAGTCCTGGGCTTTACTTTGTTGTGAAACGTTTTATTACTGCTTCAGTGTCCACTTGGTTAAGTTTGGTAAGTCATACCTATTCAGAAGTTTATCTGTTTCTTTTAGATTCTCTAATTTATCAAAATATAGGTTTTTGAAAATAGTACCTAATGAATCTCTGGATTTCAGTAGTATCTGTTGTAACAACCCCCTTTCCATCCTTAACCATGGTGATATGGGGTCATCTCCTTCTTTTGGTTAATTTGGCTAAAGGTTTATCAATCTTGTTTGTCCTCTCAAAGAACCAACTCTCATTTCATTGATCTTCTGTATTGTTCTTCTAGTCTCTATTTCATCAAATTCAGTGATCTTTATTATATCTTTCCTGCTGTTGGGTTTGGTTTTGGTTTATTCTGTCTTTCTAAGACCTAGAAAAGCATCATTAGGTTATTTATTTGAGATCTTTCTAAATTTTGGATGTAGGAACTAAAAGCTATAAACTTCTCCCTTTAGAACTGTCCCAGAGATTCTGCTATGTTGGGTTTCCATTTTCATCTGATTCTAGGAATTTTTAAATTTCTTCCTGATTTATTCAGTGACCCACTGATCTTTCAAAAGCAAATTGTTTTATCTCTGTGTATTTGTGTGGGTTTTGTAGATTCCTTGTTGACTTCTAATGTTACACCACTATGATATAGTAAGATATAAAAATTCTTCAATTTCTTATATTTGCTCTATGACCTAAATATGATCTGCACTCTATAGTTGAATGAGATATTCTGGAGACACCTGTTGAGTCCATTTGATCTATGGTGTGATTTTTTTTTTTTGTTTATTTGTTTTTTGAGAGAGGGTTTCACTATGTAGTTGAGACTGATCTGGAACTCACTATGTAGCCCAGGCTGGTCTCGAACTCACAGTGATCCTCCTGCCTCAGCCTCCCGAGTGCTGGGATTACAGGTGTGCGCCACCACCCCAACTCTATGGTGTGATTTAACTCTGCTGTTTCTCTGTTGATTTTTTTTTCTTCTTTGATGATGTATTTACTGGGGAGAGCACTTATGCGTCCTTTTTTTTTTTCCAGTAATGCTTGTTTTATGAAATTGGCTACACTGATGCTTAGTGTGTATACATTTACATTTGTTATATCTACTCGGTGTTTTTGTTCCCTTTACTAATATGCAGTGGCATTGTCTCTTCCGACCAATCTTGTCTTGAAGTCTGCTCTGTTGAATATGAGTATAGCTACTTCTGCTTGCTTTTGGGTTCCATTTGTATTGTTTTTCCTCACTTTCAGTCTCTGTGTCTTTGCTCATGAGGTGTATTTTTTGGCAAGCATCAAATAGTTGGGACTTAATTTTAATCCAGTCTTCTATTACGTATGTATGCGTGTGTATGTGTGTATGTACATGTATATGTGTATGTATCAAAGTAGGGTCTTGTTAGATAGTTCAGATTGGACTTGAGCACACTGTATAACCCAGGCTGGCCTTGAATGCATGGTGATTCTCCTGCATCAGCCTCCTTAGTATTGGAATTATGTGCCACCATGCCTGTATTTTAATTGGACAATTCAATCCATTTACAATCAAACTTATTATAGAAAGTTTGTTCTAATTCCTGCCATTTTGTTATTTTTCTAATGTATGATTCTTTCTAAATTCTCAAAAGCTCATCTATGCTTCTTCTTCAATTTATCAGATTCCTTTTTGTATTGGCTGCAAGGCATACCTCCTGGCCATGCCTTTCTGTAGTTTATGATCATCTTGGAAAAATGTGCTTTGCATTTCCAAAATTTCTCTTTGGTTCTTCTTCAGAACTTTTATCTCTTTGTTGACTTGCTTCTTTATATCCTCCATTATCTTTCTTAATTTTTTCAGGTGTTTATTTGTATCTTCTTTAAAGTCATTTATCATTTTAAGAGTCACTCTCAAATTCTTTGGCATTTTATCTACTTCGATAATTTTGCCTTCAGTTACTCATGAGCCGGGGACTTTTGGAAGAGTCATGTTGGCTAACTTTTCCCCCCATACTTCTTGTGTTTTTTATATTGAGATTTGTCTATGTGTTGAGATAAATATCTCTTCCACTTTTATGTGAAGGTCTTCTTACACTCCAGCATTCTTTGAAGGCTGGGTCCCCAGCACTGCTCAGAGAGGAGAAAACAAACCACAGTAACAGTGATAATACAAAGACAGGCACTGACATACAATAAAAGCCAGTGAAAAGCTGTAACTATATCACTATTAACAATAGAAAAGAAATCATAATTACTAATATAGAGTAAATTAGAAGATAAAAAGTAGTACATTTTGCAGGAGAGGTGGTGCACCTCTGTAATCCCAGCAGCACCCTGACTCACGATTTTAAAAAATAGCAAAGTTAATAATGAAAGGGGATGGAGAATAGAAAAATGCTAGATGTAGTAAAATTTGAAGAAATAAGATAAGATGGAGGAGAAAAAAGTGAGATTAAAAATGTAATTAAGGAATAAAAACATAGATAAAGTTAGATAAAACTAACAGAAAAACAGTGACAAAAGGAAAAGAAAGAGAAGAAAAAGGAGAAAACAAGATAAACCCCCCAAAATCAAACAAAGAGAAAGCAAAACAGGTCCCCCCAATTCCCCCACAAAGAGGGAGTGGGGTGGAGGTAAAGAAAGTCTAGTGTTGGGATCCAACAGCACCCGCAGTGTTGGGGTCGTGGGGATGGTGGGGCAGTCGGTCTCCCCTGGGCCTCTTTGCTCCCACACCCGCGTGGTGGCTGCTGTGTATACGCTGAGTCCAGGACCAGCTTTCCCACTGGGCAATGTCAGCTAAGGGTGCTATCTGCCTTGGGCTGCTCCAGAGACTGGGGTGCTTGTGTCCTTCTGTGCAACTGGGAGCACCTGCCATCCTTGATAGCACTGTGGCCCAGGGCTCCTGGGTTCCCTCCCCAGCAGACCCTGGGCTACCATTTTTGACTACTCCTTCTTCTTCTTTTTTTTTTCTTTTTTTTTTTTTTTTG